CATAAAATAAACAAAACAGAAACTACAAACTGAAAAATAAAATTCGTGTAGCTAATTCTAATAATATTGAGATATAATTCAATATGAAGTGCGTCCCCACATACGAGGTGTGTTCAGAAAATAACGGGAATTGTTAAATTTCGCGAGTTCGGAGGGTCCGGTTGTCATAAAATTTTCTTTATTATGTTGGTATACATGCCCCCGAAGTATGATAAAAACTTTAGCTGTTTTCATTGTTTACTTTGTCTGTGGCAGCCGCTAAGGTTAGACGTGTTTTATGAGCTCGGCGATTTTTCGTTCGTTAAAAGAAATGGATCAAAGAATTTGTATCCAATTTTGCTTAAAAAATGAAATAAATTCAGTGAAATGTTAACAAAGGCCTATAGTGAGTCTGCTATAAGTAAAACAAGAGTTTACAAGTGGTATAAGAGTTTCCAAGATGGCCGTGAAGACGTTGAAGATGACGAACGCCCCGAACGCACAAGCGCATTAACAACCGATAAAAACATGGAAAAAGTGGAAGAAATGGTTATAAACCAACAGAGAAGTCGCTGATGATGTTGGTATATCGATTCGCTCATCCCATGAAATTTTTTCGAATGTTTTGGGTATGAAACGCGTGGCAGCAAAATTTGTTCTAAAATTGTTAAATTTTGAACAAAATTTTTGGCCAAAAACAATACTGTAATGATGCCCCAGCCTCCATATTCGCCAGACATGCCTCTGTCTGACTTTTTCCTATTCCCAAAAATAAAGGGAACCTTAAAGGGCCGTCGTTTTGCAAGCATAGATGACATTAAAAGCGCATCGCTGAAAGAACTAAAGGCTATGCGAAAGATCGACTTTTAGAAGTATTTCGAGTATTGGAAGAAGAGCTGCCACATGTGCATAATATCCAATGGGGACTATTTTGAAGGCGACAACATTAATGTAGACGAATAAATAAATATTTGTTTTAAAAAACGAAAATTTCCGATATTTTCTGAACACACCTTGTATAATAGTACAAATGTCGATAGATTACATATGTATTCAGCGATCAACACGAAAACGTTGTAAGGATAGAATTAAGTTAATACAAACTGAAAACGTAAAATAAACATAAATTACAAACTAAAGTAAATAGTAAGCTGATCAATAATGTAGCATAGTAGGAACATAAAAACACTTTTTATCCTCATTTGATCACCAGGTCATAATTATTGATTTATCCCAGTCCCTGAACAATTTTGCAAATACCTACCCACCTATTCGGAAATATAATATTCAATAATTACTCACCAGAAATGTGGTACTAATCTCACAATGATACACTTCCTAACACTAACTAAAACTGTAAACTGATGATGCAGATTGCAGTTGAGCGACCGGAGGGCGTCTTATTTCAAGCGGGAAATCATTTTATTGGTTATCTTAAGTGGTGTGATGCTTCACACCCGAACAAATTGTCCAATATTGTAAAATTTATATTCTAACTCAAAGTTATACTATATTTATACGAATTATTTAAAAATTGTACAAAAGAGGAACATATATTTTTGAAATATTTTTAACAACAGATTTCCACTCTTTTCTTGACAATACTGTGCAAATTGTTAAATCTAAAATCTTAATTTTTCCAACAAATTATAGAAAATTGACTTAAACAAATTAATTAGAAAAACCAATTCAACTATCTTGGATAACAGCACATTTATAGAAAATTTTTATCCCACTTTTTTTGTCCCTAACTTCATTTTTTTTAACATCAGTGGATCAAAAATTGAATTACCATAAAATGATGTGTCGCAAGGTATGGAAGACATTTAAAATTTAAAAGGGTAGCTGCAGGTGAGAGGGTGCAACATAAAATTTGTTTAACACTGGATTTTTACTTTCCTCTCGATATATAAATCGACCGGTTTATACTCAAAATTAAATTTACTATAACTCAAAAGTTATTAAGGGTGGCTAGTTTTTAAGCGAAAGCCTGTATAATATTATGTATTATAAAGTGTAGATTAGCCTAATAAAATAAATGTGATAATACATAAATGGAGGTGTGTTTAAAAAAAACGCTCGGACACGTCGATTGGTATTTTTTTCAACAATAACTTTTTGTACAGGGAGTGTCATGTAGCAGTGGCCAACTTTCTTATTTCGAACGCAACATCCTGTATGTTATTCAATTTTTTGGATTCATCAAAAAATTGTTGACATATTTTATGTAAAATGTCCTATAGGACATATACATAGACTGTATAGAATCAAGTAAGTAAGGCTGGAGACAAGGATGACAAATTATATTCTGATCAGGGAATTGGGCGTGGTATAAACCAAGCCATTCGTAATTACGAACCATAGTTGCCAGGATGTTTTAAATCAGAAGAGAACGATTATAATTATTTAATAAATAGTTCAATTTTATTTGTTTAAAACTTTAAAAATAACAAAAATATTAATAATATGTCAAAAATAATTTGATTTAGTTAATTTTAATATTAAAAAATAAGAAAAACAACCCTTTTAGGAAACAATAATAGCATATGGCAACAGCGCGGCATGCAGCCAGATACAAGGGCATGCAGTTTGAACTACTGTTTGTTCAGTAGAGGTGGGAAGTTCGATTCTTTTTGGTGAATCAATTCTTTTAATTCATTCTTTTAAAATGATTCGTTCATAAAGATTCGTTCGCGACTGATTCACTTTCTGGTTCAGGAACAGATAATTAACGAACAATTCAGGTTCGACCGAATTAATGACTTGGTTCTTGAATTGTTTGTAATGATGACTTGTATTGGTTGTATCGTTAAATGAATCAACGGTTGTATTAAATGAATCAACGGTTGTATTATTAAATTATTGGATTCGATTTTTATTAACATTACAGCTTACATAAAAAAAACAAAATACAACTAGGTTGTATTGGAAACTTTGGAATCAAAAGAGTATTTTGATATTTGACAAAAAATTCCCTGAAATATTCCTAGAAATATCACCAGTTATTCAAAAGACCGACATTTTAGCGTAGTGTAGGGCGAACCTAGCATTTAATTAAGTGCTTGTGATCAAGTTTATATTTATTTTATGGTTTGATTCACTTTTTAGTTCACTTATCGTGATTTAAAAAAATTGATTCAAATAAGAATTGATTCTTTTACAATCTTTGTTCGATTCATTCGGTTCATTTAAATGATTCGTTCTTTTTGAACGAATCGGAATCAAACTTGCCACCTCTATTGTTCAGTAGCTCCTACGCTGTCGTAGGGAAATGTGTATAGTTTTTAAGAAATAAATTTTCTCCATTAACTGGAATTTAATAGATTTTAAACAATACTTAGTTTTTATTTGCAGAAATGCAGTAAAACAAAACAAACGAATTCGATATAAATAAAACTTATAAATTCTCAAACAAAAATAATTCTAAAATAACGAAAATAACTTTTTTCTAAATTAAATGTTCAAATAGACCAAAGCAGCAGTTAAACAATACCCTAGCCTATCATAAAAATTTCTGCGCACGTTAAACAGCATTTCAGGACTAATATCTCCCAATGTATTAAAGATTTGCACCCTTAATTCATCGAGATTATTAGCCCTGAGCTCAGTGGGCGGGGTTTGGAACTTGTTTTATTTAAGTGTATCTATTCTTTTTAATACACACTGTATACTTATCTTCACTGTTTAGGAAATATTAAAAAATTAACAATTAAAAATTAAAAATTCGCTACAACACACTGAAAAACTAATAAGAAATACTGTTTATTTCTAAGGAGTATGTATTATTTATGTATTATCGAAATTATTCCATTTGGCTGATATATATATATGTAGGTAGGGTAAAGTAGACAATTGGACAATAAACATTAATACCGTAAAATCAAGAGTTCTATAAATAGTTACCTTGAAGTCAAATCATTTGATGACGCTGTATACAATTATAAATTTCTCAGTCGGTAATAACATTGAACTACTTTATTTTGGGTCCAATATAGGACAAAACAGTTCGTTCGTTACTTCGGTGGATTTTTGTTGTTTTTTGTTAAGAACAGGACTGTGTTTAAATTACAATAAAAATATTTCTAAAAAGTGTACAGATCAGTGTGTGGTATAAATGTGTTCCTCATGGTTTAAACATTGTCACTTTAATGCGTTTTAATTTTAATTCTGAAAATAAACATGTAGTAAAATGGCCAGTGTCCAATTACTGGTTGTTAAAAAATGTAAATTTATATTATTGGACCTATGTCCAATATCATACTCTATATGTATCCCGGACATTTACCAGCCATTTCTTATGTAAAATTGTCCCCTGAATCCAAAAAGACCGTCAAAACTTTAAAAGTAATCAGTTTTTGAGATATAGTCAATTACATATTATATGTAAAATTGATTATATTTCAAAAACTGTTCTACTTTTATAACTTTTGACAACATTTTCTGATTCAGCGAATAATATTTCATAGGAATTGTCTGCTAAATGTCGTGGATACAAATGGCTGTTGACGAGAATTATTAGTAGCTGCTTTTTCGCTATGACATTTTTGACTAATTCATTTTTAGAAAGTAAATAATATAGTGATTTTTTCGTCACAGGACATCTTGCAGAATAACAGTGATTTAAATATATTTGTATGTATGTATACAGTGCATGATAGAGAACATAAAAAACTAATGGCAACAAAATTAATAAATTCGGAAATACTGTCCAATAACAATGGTCCATGTGTCCAATTACTATATAAAATGTCCAATTACTATACTTTTTTGCATGTTTTTATAAAACTATTATTAAAAATTCAAATATTCTTATTTTAAAGTAAACGTAAATAAAGTTTAAACAAACCAACTATCCTTTTTATATATTTATAAGAAAAAAACTAAACTCTTTAAAACAACGGCATATATAAATTTTAAATAAATATATAATATTCCTTAAGTGCCCAATAACTATGTGGTTTACCCTATATTATAAGTAGTTTAAATAAAACAAAAAAATATAAAAAGATAAATTTTCTTACCTTAAATCTCCCTTTTGTAGCGCTATTTCTTCAAATAAAATCCGTATCCTTTCCTTATATCTGCAAACAAATAAATCAATTTTAGTGCGGCATTTATGAAAGTTATGAACTTTATAATATACCCAAGTTAACGATATATCATCCACTTAGGCTAATATAGGATTAATATTACTCTTATAACGTTCATTTTGGTGCACCTTTCCACTTTTATGCTGATAAAATCATTAAGTACTAGATTAAATGTTATTGATGAAGTCTCTTATTTACCGTTAAGCAGGGACGTAGCGAGGAGGGTGTAAAACCCTTTCAATAAATTCGGACAAAAAATGTTTTTTATCACAGTCAGTGGCGGACTTAACCCGTCGGGGGCTTGGGGCGGTAAAATAAAATGGGGCCCCAAGTCTGCTTATGTGATTGTTTTGTAAAAATTAATGTTTTGTTATTTTTAATATAATCAGGGATATGAAAATTGATTGCAAGCTTTTTCCAGAGAACTTATAAGTACGAGGTGTGTTCAGAAAATAACGGGAATTGTTAAATTTCGCGGGTTCGGAGGGTCCGGTTGTCATAAAATGTTCTTTATTATGTTGGTACATGCCCCCGAACTATGATAAAAACTTTAGCTGTTTTCATTGTTTACTTTGTCTGTGACAGCCGCTAAGGTTAGACGTGTTTTTATGAGCTCGGCGATTTTCGTTCGTTAAAAGAAATAGATAAAAGAATTTGTATTCAATAAAATAAATTCTGTGAAATGTTAACAAAGGCCTATAGTGAGTCTGCTATAAGTAAAAGAAGAGTTTACAAGTGGTATAAGAGTTTCCAAGATGGCTGTGAAGACGTTGAAGATGACGAACGCCCCGAACGCCCAAGCACATTAACAACCGATAAAAACATGGAAAAAGTGGAAGAAATGGTTATAAACCATCAGAGAAGTCGCTGATGATGTTGGTATATCGATTGGCTCATCCCATGACATTTTTTCGAATGTTTTGGGTATGAAACGCGTGGCAGCTAAATTTGTTCCAAAAATATTAAATTTTGAACAAAATTTTTAGCCAAAAACAATACTGTAATGATGCCCCAGCCTCCATATTCGCCAGACATGCCTCTGTCTGACTTTTTCCTATTTCCAAAAATAAAGAGAACCTTAAAGGGCCGTCGTTTTGCAAGCATATATGACATTAAAAGCGCCACTTAACTTCACTTAACTCTATAGGGTTTTGTCTATGTATTAGAGTATACAATACGTGGATCCCCATAGTACATTTCACAATTCAATAAAAAAAATGTTAATTTTAAATACAAATACCATAGAATTTTATGGGAATCCAAATTTAAAAAAAAACGAAACAATTCTATTTATATTACAAGTTAGCAGTAGAGACCGGATAAATAAGCACAATTTAAAAAAAAAGTGCTTAAAAAAGTATCAAAATATTAAATAAAAAGCTCTTAAAAAGCATGAAATTTGCCAAAAAAGCACCAAATAAGCAAGTTAATTAAAAATAATTAATATAAAGAGGCAAAAAAGTTGTAATAATCTTAATATTGTTGTTTATTATTTAAATGATACATTTTATTATTTTTACATTATATCTATTATTAAGACCTAAAGGAATGTATAACTAGATGTTTCTCCAAATTTTCTATACCTAGTAAAATTATGTCTTCTGTCTGTTAAAATGTTTTTGTATGCAGAAAAACTTCGCTCCACATCCACACTGGTTATTGGTGCATATTTAAATTTCGGGATAATGGCTGGATCCATTTCAAAATCGGAATCTTGCCCACCAATTAAAATAGATATTCTTGGAACCCTGAATTTTTCGAGAGAGTCTGGACCAATTTTTCTTTAATTGTTTGACCAATAGATCCTGGAATAGTATTTACCATCCATTAAAAAAAATTCGACGTGTTCGAGCATTTTTTTTGAATAAATTTATTTCATACTTTATGACCACCCTGTATAAGACATAAATAAATTCTATATATTATTTAGAAATGGGTTAAATATGTTCTTAAAAAATCAAGCTATATTTCTAATAAAAAATGGTCTCATTAAGAGGTTCAAGAAAAAATTGAGGTTAAAATTTGATTAGGTAATTTTTTTCTGCCCGCTTAATTTTGCAATCCTGTATAAGATTATATTTAAAAAAAATAATTCCATACTAGATTGATTAAAATAAAAAAACACTATCTAGGCGGCTTTTTATTGAAAGGAAACCATGGGTTGAGAAAGTAGAATGTAAAGTCTAATAATATTTTAGAAATTAAAAGTTGTATTTTATTCAATTTATTTTATTTCATCCTTAAAATTTTCATTTATAAGTAATTCAATTTAAGTCAAAAAGGAAATCTCTTCAAAACCATAAAATAAAATCAGTAATTTTTAACAATAAATAAATACTATAATTTTACTTACATTTTAGAACATGACAAAAGACCTTTTTATTGTCAATTTTTAGTTCCTTGTGACCACTAATCCACTCTTTAATGGTTGGCTTTTGTTTTGGCATTGTCTAAATAATTACCACGTACAGCAAATAAAAAATTACCACGTACAGCAAATAAAGCGCAAGCACAATAATAGAACCTAATAATAGAACCCCGTATACGCTATATATATATATATACGCTATAGCGTATCGTGTATCTTAACTAAACATTAAAAAGCACGCTACACAGTAGCTTCTTCAGATCGAATACTAACTATATTAATTTACTATTTATATAAATGATGGTTTTAACAGGTAACATTTTTAGTACAATATTGGGGGTAGATTAAAGGAACAATAATTATGGGAATGCCCTGTAATCTTTATAGTTATATAACACTAAACTATTTGAATATATTAAAATAAATTTAATAACGGGGAATTATTGGTATCAATTTGGTCATTGAGAATAATATCAGTTTTTTTCCTTTAATTTGTTAATTTCATACTTTTGTTTTCTATATGTAAGATTTTGAAGTTAGAATTAAACAGTGTAGTTTATATTAACATATTATTAACATGGAGTTTCATCAAGTAAAAGTCGAAACAATTAATTAAAAAAAATGTATAAAAATATGGGAAAAAGTTTAAATAAGCACGAAATCGAAAAAAAACATAAAACCTTAAAAAAAGCAAAAAATTAAGCAATAAGCATCATGCTTAAAATCCGGTCTTTAGTTAGCAGTCTATAAATTTGATTTAAAAGGTTCGTGTTTGAACTAAAAATGCAAATTTTATTAATAAACTGGATAGGTTTTTACTAAAAAAGTTTAATTCATTGTTTAATATGCATATATTCACATATGTTTTCAATTTTTCAATCACTTCAGTCCCTAAAATTAAAAACACCAATAAACAATGAAATTAAACTGTTCAATATTTTTTAAAAGTCGATTATTTATGGGAATATATTTAAATAATTAAATATGTATATTTATCTGATGAACGCAAATCCACACGTTGATTGCCTATATAAGCAAAGCACGATTCATAATACAATTTTATGTGTACAATTTATGCATGTTAAACAATTAAATGAGCCTACAAATAAAAATCAATTTATATATAAAATTGCCGAAATAAAAAATCCGAAAATGCCTATAATGTTACTTAATGCATAAATAGCGGTAGGTATACCTACCGTTGGTATACCAACTTACAAAATATTATATTAAAGAACTAATGTCAAGACGTCATTTTGTCGCACGCGGACAATTTATGGATGAGTTCTTTATGCTATTTTATCTATTTTGCAAATATTCTATAAAAAAATTAATTTTATGCCTTAAATTTAATTTGGTCGAATTTTACTTTAGATAGTTGGTATCACAGTCATTGGTTTACCAGTTAATGTTAAAATTGATTCGCCATGCCGTCCTTAATTTACTTATTTACAATAAGCGGCTGTTAATGTTAAAGAAGAAGAAAAGGATTTTCTTTGGTGTTAAACTAAATTAATTGCCAGAAAAGTCTCGTAAGTACTAGAAAAATCATATATTATAACCAATAGGTATGCAAAATATTATGCCAACCAAAATTTTGGGTGGGATAAAGTATCTCATTACAGCACCGAAAGTAATGTTATAATGAAGTCATTATGAACGCAAAATTGATAAACAAAACTTACTTTGTCATTTTATTACATTTGATTTAAAAAACAGACAATTTTCTAACTGATTTTATAATTATTTTTTATTTTAATAAAAAAGGCACTATACATATACATATATATTGTAATACAGAAAAAGGTAAATTAAAAACGAAAAAAGTAGGAATTAAACGCGACAACATTGCGAGTGGTTGATATTTGCTTTCTTTGGTAACTCTTTTAGCTCTTGACATTTTGCGTGACATTTCTTTATGCAGTGTTATTTGAAACCTTAAAATGAGTTGTGAAAACGAATTATTATGTTCTGTGAAACCAAGTCCACTATAAAGAAAAACTTATTAAAATGCAGTAGAAACAAAAATAAAAAAAATCATAAAAGAAAATCATAAAAGATAGAAGGATTATCTTATTATTAAAAATAAAAATAAGTTATAATAAATAACAATACAACTGTCATTGGACGCTTTTCACTAGACAAAAAAGAGGTCAAACAAGAGGGGAAGAGGCCATCCGCAAAAATTAATAAGTATCCTCAAGCATATGCATGACCTTACACATAATTTGAAAATTAAACACGACAGATACCTTTAAAACCCTAAAAAAGGCAAACTACTTAAACTCTAGAAAAAATAACAATAAACATCAGTAACAATAGAAACATTAGAAAGACAATACTAACCGAACACCATCAAATAATAAAGAAAAAAGACAAACAACAAAAAAACAAAATTTCCCTTTCGAACTATCGCGGTGATACACCAAAGCTGAGTAGGACAATAAATCTGTCAACAACAAATGCGTAAGGCATGAAACCCAGTAACTCAAAGGACGGCCCCAACAAAACATCGTTAATTTTAACCCAAACGAGACCAATAATAAACATTTGACATTGAACATAAACTAACACTCAATAAATCATGAAAATCCAAACATAGTAAAAACAGCATACTAATCAAACTCTATTGGATTTGTAAACACATTAGATTATAACAGAATAATTGCGCTTTTTATTGGTTTAACTAATAAATAAATGCAATACTTAATTTTGGAAATTAAGAAAAAAAAAGACAAAACAATTCTACCACAAAACGTGCTTGGGCAACACAATAACTAAAAAATATTACGTTGGTAATACAGTATTGCAATAATAAACGATAACATCCCGTGTAGTCTTAGCAACGTATAAGAACTGTTTTAATGCAGTTTAAAGTTTAGTTTATTTTTAAAAATAATGAGACATATTTTTATGCAAATTTTATTCACCAATATATCTACAATGAATGAATGAACACACAAACATAAAATGTTATCAAATTAAAATAAACAGAAGAAAAATGTTTAGTCTTCGGGGAAATTAATATTACCTAAAGCATTTTCAACGACTCCTATAAAAGTTTTGCAAATAAAACGGTAGCTAATGGCCGATGCGTTCTCCTGGCAAATAAGTAAAATAAATTGAATTAAAGCTTGCTTTTACACGTGAAAGAGTTTTAAAACTGAATTGGTTTTTTTTAAGAATTCAGGACAATGTTCAAATTATTTCTGACAATGTATTTTTTTTAAGATGATCAGTTACCAAAAAAGTGATATAAAAATAGTAAAATCCTATTAATTTTTTTTCGAGATTTTTAAGTTATAATAATAATAATAATAATAATAATAAGAATAAATTTACAGAAAATGTAGAACTTACCTGGCTCGAAACCTGTAAGAACACCTGATGTTTTTTGGATACGTGGAGGGATACCTTGGTGAGTAGAACTTTCCAAAAGACGGCGCATTTTCTGAACTTAAAAATTGGTAGTCACACATTGTGCTCGGCAACTTCAGACCGTCTGTATGAAATAACTCTGAAACAAATAAGAGAAAAATGGCTAGTTTTACAATATAGGGGAAGGTGGGGGAATTTTGCGCGGTGGGTAATTTTACGCATAAACAATTCTTCCAGATATGAAGTAAATAATACATTTTTTGAATGTTGCAAACTTGGAAACGTTGCTTTGGGTATACGGGGACTAAAGTGTACCGCAATTAAGCTTGTAGCTTTTAGCTAGTGACCATGGTCACTAGCTAACTGTGATACGTGTACTTTGATCTAAGAAATCCATGCATGTCGTTTCCGCTACGAGTTAAGTTTAAATTTCTGTCCAATCGCTTAAATGTTTATAACACAACTTTATATGATCTTTCCTCGTAATCTGGTGTATATTTAAATTGTTCAGGTTAACTTTTGGAAAGTTTTTTAGTATCACAATATTTTTCTTGCAATGGGGGTAATTTTACGCTGAAAAATTGGGGTAATTTTGCGCTGCAAAATTTGGCCAATATGGGAGCTTTGGTATACAGGAGCCTAGATTGTTCAGCATAAACAGTTCCATTTGGGCACACGCGGAGTGTAGCGAAAAAAAACCCCTAAAACTACATATGTGACAAATGCTGCATGTAGACCCTCTTATTTCTAAGAAGAAAAATTTTATTTTTAGTTATTTATTTTGTTTGTTTTGTTTGTTTCATAGAGAAAATAGTTTTGTTTTATTTTTATGTTTTATTATAATAATATTATAGAAATAAACGGTTTATTTAGATACCTACAAATCTTTCTCTATAAAGCGCAAATTTTCCCACTATGATGCGCAAAATTACCCTGATAGGTGGGTAATTTTGCGCAAATGCATTATTTAAAAAAATGTAGTTTTTGCATACCAAACATTTTTTTTTATAAATTGCGCATTATAATATAGTCTACTATGTTTACTATGTGTATATTATACACATAGTAAACATAGTAGACTATCGCTGGTATTAATTGCAAAATTTCACATTTAAACTTAACAAAGATACTAGAGATTTTGCTTAGATGCGCAGAATTCCCCCACCTTCCCCTACTCTTAAAAAGCATGTACACAGTAAACAGATATTTGTTAATTTTAACCAAATATTAACCAGATTTTATGTTAAGTTTACAACCAACTGTAATCTGTTAACTAATTAAATAAGTAGTTTGTTATTATAACAGACATTTTGTAACCTTCCATGAGAACAGTGTTTACATTTTATTGGGATTTAAATTTAAAATGAAATCATTTGATTGCTTTGTTTTATGGGAGGTTTAAAAATTCATATCTCGAGAACCGTTTAAGATAAACCCATCAAAGAATCTTTAATTTTAAGATAAAAAATGCAGGGTGTTCCATTAAAAAAAACTGCCACGATCTTTTGGGACACCATATATACCAAAATATCTATTTATACTGTCTGTAAAGTAAGTAACAGAATATGATAGTAGAATATTTTTAATTTATTGCAGATCATCTGCAAGAAAAAGTACGATGTAACAACATTTACAAACAGAACGCCATAAGGAGCTCTTGAATAAGTTAAAAGAAAATAAAAATAGACAACAGACTATTTTGACTTCAATAGCTTCAACTTCTGGTTTAAATGAACAAAAACAATTTAATTTTGACTTGTGTAGTGCTATGGTTAAATCGGATATTCCATTAAATAAATTACAGAATAGCTCTTTTAGACAATTTCTACAGAAATAATGCAAAAAAAAAACATTCCAGATGAAAGTACTCTTCGTAAAAATTATGTTTCTCCAGTTTATGACGAAACAAAGCAGCAAATTAAAAAGATGATAGCAAATAATTATATATGGTTTGCTGTAGATGAAACAACTGACACATGTGGAAGATATATAGCCAACTTAATTATAGGAGTCTTAAATGAAGATATCGTCACAGAAGGATTTTTAATAAGTTCCAAACAATTAACAAAAACGAATAATAACACTGTTTCTAGATTTGTTCTTGAGGAATTAAACAAGTTTTTTTTGCCCGAGGTGGTTCCGAATGAAAAAATTCTATTGATGCTTTCGGATGCTGCAGCATACATGACAAAAGCTGCATCAAATTTAAAGGTTTTTTACTATAATTTAATACATTGTACCTGCTTAGATTATGGGCTTAACCGCATAGCAGAAACTATAAGATTGCAGTATCCGTTGGTCAACACATTAATAAAAAATGGCAAAAAATATTCATAAAAGCTCCATTGAGAGTACAATTTTTTAAAGAGAGATTGCCTGATGTTCCATTACCTCCAGAACCAATTGTAACAAGATGGGGAACTTGGCTAGATGCTGCCATGTACTATGCCGATAATTTTACAGAATTTAAGAGATTGTTACTGAAGGCACAGAAAGCAAAGCAGTTCAAGAATGTCAGGAAGTTGTAAAAATACCTGAACTTGCACACAATTTAGCTTTTATTAAAAGTCATTTTACCTATTGGAATCCGTCAATGTTATTAAAAGTTTTGAAGCTGCAGTAAATACTATTCCAGGATCTATTGGTCAAACAATTAAAGAAAAATTGGTCCAGACTCTCTCGAAAAATTCAGGGTTCCAAACATTGAAAAAAATATCTATTTTAATTGGTGGGCAAGATTCCGATTTTGAAATGGATCCAGCCATTATCCCGAAATTTAAATAGGTATGCACCAATAACCAGTGTGGATGTGGAGCGAAGTTTTTCTGCATACAAAAACATTTTAACAGACAGAAGACATAATTTTACTATAGAAAATTTGGAGAAACATCTAGTTATACATTCCTTTAGGTCTTAATAATAGATATAATGTAAAAATAATAAAATGTATCATTTAAATAATAAACACCAATATTAAGATTATTACAACTTTTTTGCCTCTATATATTAATTATTTTTAATTAACTTGCTTATTTGGTGCTTTTTTGGCAAATTTCATGCTTTTTAAGAGCTTTTTATTTAATATTTTGATACTTCTTTAAGCACTTTTTTTTTAAATTGTGCTTATTTATCCGGTCTCTACCAAAGACTAGTACTTTTGAGGTTATAAATCGTTAACGGTGGATTAAAGTAATTTAAACCACCGAAATTGGGGGTTTATTTTAACAGTAGTTTAGAGGTATTAAAAAAGGATTAATTTACGGTGCAAGCCCTTTATGAAAAATAAACCTGTGTTAAAAATAAAACCACTGTTAAACTTACGGTGCAAGTGGCCATTAAGGAATATTATTTATTTAAAATTTATATATGCCGCTGTTTTAAAGATTTTAGTTTTTTTCTTATAAATATATAAAAAGGATTGTGTGTTTAAACTTTATTTACGTTTACTTAAAAATAAGAATATTTGAATTTTTAATATTTGTTTTATAAACAAATGCTAAAGGTATAGTAATTGTACATAGTTGGACCATAGTTATTGGACATACAATTTTTATATAAACATAACAACTTTACATCAAATAACATAAATTGTTAAATATTTTTTAAAGATAAATTGCTGTTTTAGGTAATTTTTTTTATTTCGTTTTTGTAAATATCATATAATTCATATTTTTCTTTCTCGGATTCCTCATCCCTTTTCTGGATTCTGAAGGTAACTACTAATTCCTTGGTCTGACTTCTGAAATAGTTTGTTTGCAAATATCATTAAGTGTGGTATCTCTAGTTTTTGAAGTATTTATAATGTTTAGGCCGGAACAGGATGATTTATATATATATATATAATATTTTTTCGGGTGGTATGTTAAAAGTATTTTCCGAATTTATTAATTTTGTTGCCATTAGTTAGAAATCACTATATTACTTACTCTCTAAAAATGAATTAGTCAAAAATTTCATAGCGAAAAAGCAGCCACTAATAATTCTCGTCTACAGCAATTTGTATCCAGGACATTTAGCAGTCAATTCCTATGAAATATTATACGCTGAATCCGAAAATTTCGTCAGAAGTTATAAAAGTAGAATAGTTTTTGAAATTTAATCAATTTTACATATAATATGGAATTGACTATATCTCAAAAACTGCTTAACTTTTATAGTTTTTGACGGTCTTTTCGCATTTAGGGGACAATTTTACATATATGTAGGAATTGGCTGGTAAATGTATAAATGTACGGGACAAATAGAGTATGATATTGGACACATGTCCAATGATAGATATTTAAATTTTTTACCAACCAGTAATTGGACACTGGCTTTTGTACTGTTTGTTTTCAGAATTAAAATTAAAACGCATTAAAGTGACAATGATTAAACCATGAGGAACACATTTATACCACACACTGATCTGTACACTTTTTAGAAATATTTTTTACTGTAATTTAAACACATCCTTGCTTTTAACAAAAAAACAAAAAACTTTTTTGTCCTATATTGGACCCAAAATAAAATAGTATATTGTTGAACTCTTGTCTTTACAGTATTAATTTTAATTGTCCAATAACTATAAAGTGTCCGATAACTGTCTACTTTCCCTAGAAGGGAAATCGTTTTAAAATTTTAATTATTCTAGTACATAATTTTTTTTACGTTGCAGCGCGCTGTTAGAAGTCTGTCAAATTTTAGTTGTCGCATAATCAATAAACTAATTGATTTTAATTAAAAACGCTTGGCCCAATTAAATTTCATATCGAACAATCGAGGTACCTGGTAAATGAGCGCACGAGCCCATTATAAATTTTCATATTTAAATGTTATTAATGATGCCCGCGCGAGTGATGTGGTGCCTGATAAATTGGAACGGATTTATTTTTGAATTCATCCTGATGGATAATTTGTTACAATTATCCAAACTTTAAACTCCAAATAATGAGTATATTCAAAGATAATTGAATCGGCGAGGTTCAAGAACAGTCCAAAATTTAAAATTTTGACAAATTACCTATATTATAAAATTATTTTTATATATAAAAACTATAGTTTAAAATGCATTTTTGTGAGAAAGTTTCAACTATTGTACAAAATATGGTTGGGTCATTTAACT